GTCATTCGATTTAAGATTGCTTCATTTTTTGCTTTTTAGGGAAAATGTTATCCTTCAGCAGGTTGATGAATCCTGTGAGAGACATATGGGAAAGTGGGTATAATAACTGTAATAACAATACACTGTGCCCCAATAGACCTCTTTATCTTTGCATGCAAATTGCCCATTTCAGACCACAYGTCATTATCATTTCCCTTGAGATTTCTTCATCTCTTAAAATATTTACACATGAAAGAATGAATTCCCAGGCTTAAGGAGTGGCATTACATGGTCTGAAATGAGGGAACAAACAACAAAGCTAAAGAGGTCTATTACATTGTATTTGATATTTTAATCATTACAGGCTAGTAAACCAACTGCTTGCTATTGAAAAGGCCCATAAAATCCCAATGAGATGGAAGCCAACTGATCAAGAGTTCCAGAATACACTTGTTGCCAGTGAAGCAGCCTCTGYGAGGTCTACACTTAATCTGCTACTTATGAGTGGCCGCAGAAGATGGTTTCTTTTAAGCCTAGTGAAGAAATATGCAGGTCACCTGTTTTGTTTCATTATTGTTTTATGTCTACATCCTCATAAATTTAGTATTTACTACTTCTCTTACTGCTACTACTGCTGCTGCTGCCACACCTACCCGCGATTAACATTATTGTTAATATTTATATTAATATTAGTGTGAACTGTTGTTTTTATTTATAGATGGCCAAGCCCAAGCGTACCGCATCACCAAGGCAGTCACRAAGGAAAGCAAGATCCTGAAGAACCTGCTTAAAAAGTTCAATGCATCTGTTCAAATCTTGAAGGAGCATGGGCGTTTTATGAGCACTCTCTCTTGGGATGAAGTGACTAATGTAGCCAGTTCCTCCCTATACACCAGWACTCCCAAAAGTTGTGACCAGGAAATAGTGCCAGATGCCATTAAGAGAGAAATCATCRATGCATACAATCTTTGCCAAAGGGCAGGTGAAGAACTCTGCACGCTGAACCAGGAGATGTCCAGGATTATTCATTTCTTTTACGAAGAATGCAAAGACTTGGAACAAAGAAATGAAGTCACTCTAAGAAGGAGGCCGGACATTCCCATTACTCTTTGGGCGGGTCAAAGAAGTGTTCTTTTGCGTAAATTGCACTTCTGTCAGAGACATCTATTATTTTCAGTAGAATCATTTAAAGCCCTCATAGCAATCCCTACAAACATCGATGATTATCTTAAAAATAGCATATGCATCAACATTCCTTATGATCATTTGATGAACGAGATGGATGAGTGTGGACCAACTGAAGATGTTAAAGTATTGAACCCTTTAGAGTATATTATTGATGAAGAGAAGGGTGATTACTTGTTCAGAGATGACAATGATAGTGGCTTTGCATCTGCTTACGAATCCTCAATCCCACCCGATATCACTCACTAGAAACAAGCATTAGGTTATTAGCTTTTATAGGATAAATTTATCATCCTCATCGTCATCGTTGTCATTATCATCATCATAATCATCATCAAAAATTAATATATTTTTACAGTTCAGTGTCTATTTTGTCTTTATTTATATGACAAACTTAAGAAACAGTTAAAATTAAAAAAACCTCTAAAATTGATTTCCTAGCAGCCCGAAGGGAGTTCTTGGCCTGGGATCTGATGGGGGTGTCCCGCCGGAACCCCTAAAACCTGACCCCATTTAAGACAAAAAATTCTCGAAAACCCATACCCTGTTTAAGACACAAATCATATGGTAAAACATGAAACTATCCACAACATAAAAAATTGAAATGTTTTACAATACTAGTAGTTGCTGGCTTACAAACATGGTTTACAATTGCAGTAACTACTGGGCTATAACATCAAATGTTTTACAATACTAGTAGTTGCTGGCTTACAAACATGGTTTACAATTGCAGTAACTACTGGGCTATAACATCAAATGTTTTACAATACTAGAAGTTGCTGGCTTACAAACATGATTACGAACTCATTAGTTCAGTACTGAATTACAACTTTTCACGGCCCAGTGAGTCTTAGTGAAGATTACTGATTTAAAACCCTACATGATAGAGTGCAAGCAATATATCCGTGAAATTTACTAAATAGTACAATAGAAAATAGTAAAACAATAGAAGTTGTATAAAATTGTACAATTTAAACTAAACTGGTTTCACAGAAATAGTACTCTTTGCACTCTATATAGTTCGTACGTAAGTCGTTATAGAGTGTGCGCTTTATAATCTAAATATACAAGGCATATTGTGATCGACGATTTTCCTTATTTTAAAAAAAAAAACTTATTATTTAATTTGTCAAAAATATAGCCTCTGCATACAAAAAAAATACAACAATTGTTTTTGATTTTGTTTGTTGATATGCAATTTAAAAAAGAAGTATAAAGGAGGACAAGTGAACAGCACTATACTGATAATGGGTTGTAAAACTTTTATCTTCTCCTACGCGTTTTGTCTAACTCTGAAGACTTCCTCAGGGATCGAGTTTTACAATAAAGTTGAGACTGTATTTAAAGACTAATTATCTACTACTTAGTATAGGGACTACACCCGGGGGGGG